AAAAAAAAAAAAAAAAAAAGGAGAAAATGGAAGGAAAGAGAAGTGGAATTGCCAATTTTGTTGAGGGAGCACAGCCTTACATTGCTATGATCTCTCTCCAATTTGGCTATGCTGGGATGAACATCATCACTAAGGTAGCTCTCAACCATGGAATGAGCCATTACGTTCTCGTCACCTATCGCCAAGCCTTTGCCACGATCGTGCTCGCTCCGTTCGCCTTTCTCTTCGAAAGGTTCGTTTCAATTACTTATGCTTTTAAAACAAGTGATTTTGGTCGTCGTATATACTAACAAGGATTTTCGTGTCAGGAAAGTAAGACCCAAGATTAGTTTTCGTCTGTTCGTGCAGATTTTCCTTCTGGGTTTGTTAGGGTTAGTGTAAATTCGAGTGTATTTTTATTCATTAATTCTTTTCTTTTTGAGTTGTTTGGTTGAACTTGTTCTCGTTGTTTTCCAGACCAGTGATGAATCAAAACTTTTATTATGCTGGGTTGAAGCTCACTTCTCCTACCTTTTCATGTGCCATGAGCAATATGCTTCCGGCAATGACATTAATTTTAGCTCTTCTTTGCAGGTATGATATTACTATTTTGGCTTTAAACTCGTAAAAGAATTCTTAAACTTACGATTGAGTTTTACATTTTTCATCTCTATTTTAAACTTTATCAACACAACTCTTATGAATTTATGTCAAAATCATGTTTATAAGTGATTTCTTTCCTTTGAAATCTACCTTAAAGTTTTTGTATACATATTTACATACGATCGAAAAAAATACGATCTTTTCCCGTTAGTTTTTATTACGAATTTTTAAGTATACATACATGCCACCAAACCCATTAAAAGGTGAAGAAAAAGCAAAACTTTCATGTTGTTAATAATAAAAGACTTGAAAAAGGAGGGAAAAAAAGGGAACATAAAGTAATATTAATATTTGGAGTGATGGAAATTAAAGATGAAAAATTAAAATAGTTTATTTATTTTGGAAAATGAAAATTAAAGGATGGAGAAATTGGAGATGAAGAAAGTGAGGTGCCAAGCCAAGGTGGTGGGAACAATGGTGACAGTGGGTGGAGCCATTTTGATGACTTTATACAAAGGGATTGACCTCTTTCAAACCACTTATCAACATTGGCTCAAGGGTTCCATTCTCCTCCTCTTTGCCAATCTTTCTTGGGCTTTCTTCTTCATCCTTCAGGTACAAATTATTTATATTTGATCGTTATCTATGCACTAATCCGTCACCGACAAGTTTTCCTAAACCAAATTGAAGAGAATTCTGACTTTACTAAAATGCTCGTTGAAAATCAACAAAAGAAGGAAGGTCTTTCCATATAGTTCGTCGGTCAAACCAACGAGATTCTAATAATCTTATGTCTAATAGATCTCAAAAATTGCAAGTTTAAGAACATATTAGACATTAAATTGCAAATTCAATGACTGATGTATTAGACCCTCGATTAGATAAGGTTTTTCCACTTAGTTTGTCGGTTAAACCGACGAGATTCTTCTAATTTTATATCTAATAGATCTCCATAATTGAAAGTTTAGGAACGTATTAGATATTAAATTGCAAGTTCAATGACCGATGCATTAAACCCACATCGATTAGAGGTCTTCCCATGTAGTTCATCTGTCAAACCAACGAGATTTTTCTAATTTTATATTTAATAGGTCTCCATAATTGAAAGTTTAGAAACATATTAGACATTAAATTACAAGTTCAACGGTCTATGTATTAGACTCACGTCAATCCGGTCAGATAAACTTAGTTCATATATATATATATATAGAAAAAGTTGTAAAATTTGGAGTAATATTTTACAGGCAATAACATTGAAGAATTACACAGCCCATCTGTCTCTTACAACCCTTGTGTGCTTCTTGGGGACATTGCAATCCATGGCTGTCACCTTTGTAATGGAAAACAAAGCTTCTGTTTGGAGCATTGGATGGGACATGAATCTTCTCGCTGCTGTTTATGCCGTAAGATCTTCCACCTCTTCTTATATATATATATATATATATATAGCAAAGAAAAATGAGTAATAATTAATTTGAATGAACTTTCAGGGAATAGTTTCATCAAGCATAGCTTACTATGTCCAAGGGATGATTATGCAAAAGAGAGGCCCTGTGTTTGTCACAGCCTTTACCCCTATCATCATGATCATTGTTGCTATAATGGCCTCTTTCATGCTCACCTACAACATTTACCTCGTACGGTTAGTTTACTTGCTTCTCCAAAAGGGCTTTTATTAATGGAGATATATTTCTTACTTATAAACTTATGGTCATTCCTCAACGAATTTAATTATGAGATCACATAATCCCAAGTTGATTAGGGAGGCGAACAAAACACTTTTTATAAAGTAGATGCATTTTAAAACCTTAAGGGAAAACCCAAAGAGAACAATATCTGCTAGAGATGAGCCTGGACCGCTACAAAATGTATTAGAGCCAGACACCGAGTGATGTGCCAGCGAGGAGGTTGTTCCCCGAAGGAGGTAAGACACGAGGCGGTGTGCCAGTAAGGACGATGGCCTCAAAATGAGTGGATTTGACGGGGTCCCACATCGATTAGAGAAAGGAACGAGGCCCCAAAGGGAGTGGAATTGACAGGGTCTCACATCGATTAGAGAAAGAAACAAGTGCCAGCGAGAATGCTGGGCCTTAAAAGGAGTGGACTGTGAGATCCCACAATCCCACATTGGTTGGGAAGGCGACGAAACCCTTTATAAGCACGTAGAAACCTTTCCCTAATAGACACGTCCCGAAAGGGAAAGCCCATTAACTCGATCGATTACGGTATTGTTTGGTAGATTTCGAAATCAAAACTCGACACAACTAATTGAAAATTTTAAACTCGTAGCTAACCGTTAACATTTGAACCGGAACTTAAGATTTGTTTTTTTTTTTTTTTTTGTGTATGTTGTTTAGTGTTGTTGGAGGTGCTATAATGGTGGTGGGGCTGTACTTAGTGCTATGGGGAAAATACAGAGATTACAAAGAAAATGAAGGAATGATAGAAGAGGCCGCCATTGTTGAACCAGTGAAGCTTGAGAAGAAGAAGAGGAAATTGGCAACAGTGGTTGAAGAAGAAGAAGAAGAAGAAGAAGAAGAAGAAGAAGAAACGACAACATCATCATTAAACGACATCGAAATGCAAAGGAACGACACGACATCAAATGTCGACAATAATAATGTTACAAAATTGCCATGTCCTCCTCCACCACCCATTATTGTCGTCATAGAAGTTTGATTACAATTTTAAAATATAAAAAAAAAAAAAAAAAAAAAAAAAAACTTTTAAAAAGAAAGAAAAAGAGAGAATAAAAGTTGGAAATAGCCTTTGAAGAGTGGGAGGGAGAGGATTTTTATTTTTCAGCTAATCCTACTTTTTATTTTATTTTATTTTATTTTATTTTATTTTATGTTTTTCTCCCTCTTACTTTTTTTTTTGGTCCCTCTACTTCTCTCTATTTGCAAATAATAGGGTTGTAATTTTGATTATAATTGAATTAAATTAACCATAATCCTATAATCTCGTTTTGCTATTTTATCATTTATAACAGTTTAGTCCTTCAACTTTATTGTTTTAAAAGATTTGGCACCAAATAAAACGAAATAAGACAAATAAAGAGTACATTAAATCAATATTGATATAATTACATTATTTTCCAAAGTTTCGATTAAGAGAATTTAAATCTTTAATTTTTTAAAAAGAAATACGTGTCAAGTATGCACATTTTAATATTATAATTGAAAGGTAACTCTTTACCAATATATATAATTCGATACATTTCTAGAAACGTGTTTATTATAAATGTCTTTTTGACCACTTTAATACGATAATGAGTTATGTACAATTTTAAGTGAAAAAGACTTTACAAAATCAACGTAAAAAATAACACGTCTCTACTCAAAAAAAGATATTCATACTTATCGATTTAACATATTTCTATATGTTTGGGCTATCCTATCAATAAAAGTATAAAGTTTTATACACTAAATTGTTTTGATAAGATTATTCTCCGACTTTTTCTTTTTTAGTTTACAACACGTAAGATAGGAAGATTCAAACCTATAACCTCTTACTTTTATGAGTTGAGTTATGCTTGAATTGACAGTAATATATTTAAAAATATATTATTTTATATTTTTGGTTATCTTTTCCGAAACAAGATATTTTGGATATTATTTATACGGTAGATTCAAAAAGTATTTATTTCTCTCCGCATCATATACATATCGAAAGTGTGACAACCACAAGCCTCCATTAAAAGAAAAAAGCATTTGGAAAGTAAAGAAGATTGTAAATATTTGATTACAACACCGACTCAACTTTGGAGTTATGGTTAGTCTATATGGAAATCACTACCACTATTATTATTATTAAGGCGTTATGATTCAAAGCATTTGTGCAATGTCTATTCTCCACATTACTTTGTTTTCTCACCCACAACCTTCAACACCATTTTCTAGGAAAAAAACAAAACATGTCCCAAACTCATGTCTCATTCTAATGAATTTTACACGTAAGATAATATCTAATCGATTAATCATAGTTTAAAAATCTTAATAGTAAAGAATTTGGATGTAATACTCGAGTTTCGACCAAAACTTTAAAATCTAATTTTTTCTTTAAAGTCAAACTTTCATGATTTTATTGAGAATTTTAGAGACGACTGTTAGAAAAATTCTAGGAATTCAAGATAAAGGGGTAAATATGCTCCAAATATTTGTTTTAGAGTCAAAATTTCTTCCAAGTTTCTTCACAAGACTTACTAAGTAGGTTGAGGGAAACTATTTTCGGCTTTTGAATCAATCAATTCCGTTAGGAATAGAGGAAGAATAGAAGGTATGATTTTCAGGTTCTCGATTCTAGTTTTTCTTCAAATCTTAGAGTTTTTATTGAAATTTTCGGAATTTTAAGTATGTTGATATTGGAGAGATTTTTTACAAGTGGTATGGAATAAGTTGATATTGATTTGGACCAAAAAGTTGAATTCCTATGAAAGTCAAGAAGCTGAATTTTTTTTTATAAGTTTTAATTTTTTATGATATTTGAACTCTATTTCTTGTTCTGATTGGCTAAAAGTTATTAGAAAAATATCTTAGTAAATATGTATTAAAAGTCTTAGGATGGTCGAGAAGAAACTAAGTTTATTAGAGTTGTGTAGAGAAAATTAAATAGATGAAGGATTTGAATGCGCAGGTGACATCACGTGAGAGAGATTTCAGAAATTTTGAAGCTCCTAACACGCAGAAAAACTAGTTTGAGAAGGCACGCATCATCCAATTAAGTAACCACACGGACTATAGACAAATAATACTTGTAGGTATTGCTAGGACGTGCTAGCATGCAAGCATTTCTTATCTTAAGTGGTTAGATAATATATGTTAAGGACTTCAAAATGGCATTTTTTTTATGAGCATGTAGTGGATGTATGTCATGGTAAAATTATCGTTATGCTCATAAGTTGAGATTTTCGAGAACCATATTGTTTTATGTATTAGGTAAGGTTAGAAAGTGTGATGTCCACATTGGTTGGGGAGGAGAACAAACCACCATTTATAAGGGTGTGAAAACCTTCTTCTAGCAAACGCATTTTAAAGTCTTGAGGGGATGCCCGAAAGGGAAAGCCCAAAGAGAACAATATCTGCTAGCGGTGGATATGGGGCGTTACAAATAGTATCAGAGCTAGACACCAGACAATGTGCCAGCCTTCTCGCTGTTCCCCGAATGGGGGTAGACACGAGGCGGTGTGTCAGTAAGGACGTTGGGCTCAAAGGGGGGTGGATTTGAGGGCAGTCCCACATCGATTGGAGGAAGGAAAGAGTGCCAGCAAGGACGTTGGGACGATGTGCTAGCCTTCTCGCTATTCCCCGAAGGGGGGTAGACACGAGGAGGTGTGCCAGCAAGGACGCTGGGCCCCGAAGCGGGGTGGATTGTGATGTCCCACATTGGTTGGGGAGGAGAACAAACCACCATCTATAAGGGTGTGGAAACCTTCCCATAGCAGATGCGTTTTAAAGCCTTGAGGGGATGCTCGAAAGGGAAAGCCCAAAGATGACAATATTTGCTAGCGGTGGATATAGTATACCATGACCAACTATGGCATTATAATCGCACGTTACCTAGGAGATGTGCTATGAATGAATTGTAACCATAGTCCTTTTTTTTTTCTGGTGTGGTAGATTAATGACACCAAAGAGACGCGACGAATGAATTGTAACCATAGTCCTTTTTTTCTGTTGTGATAGACAATGACACCAAAGAGACGCGAACCATATGTAGGGCCCGAACCCAGAACGGAAGGTTGGGGATATGCCCCAAACTAGCGAGGGGACCGTACCACAACCATCAAGAACAAAAAGACGCCGAAGGAAGGCCAAGGCCCGAAGGCTACTCGATACACCCCCTACTGCTCCCTTCTCCGAGGAGGTCCCAACGGGTCTAACCCCGTGTACAACAGTCCCGCTAAACTAGCTGTTAGCCATGCCCACAGTAGAGATGTTTCAGATGTTCATGATTACCTCGATAGAAAATCAGGCTCGACAAACAAAACGATACAAACTATGATGGATATGCGTAACCCAAAAATTCAACCACATGAAATACGCTTGAAGTCTATATTTCCTAAGGTTGAACTTTATAATTTTTGTTTTAAAACAAAGAATTGGATAAGGATTCAGAATTCTGATTTGGCACTTGATGGCTCCGAGTTCTGATGCGACATTGTCACGTTACCTACTTATCAGTCTAAGAGTGAATACTATTCTCACAGACAAACACAAGTTCTTTCAACATGTTTTATCATCACTAACATGCATTCTTTGAAAATTTCCCAAAGGTCACCCAACTAAAATTGCTTCAAACAAAGCACGCTTAATTATGAAATTTTTATAATTTAGCCACGAAAAAGGAAGATACACCTTGTTTGTATGGGTAGTAACCTTCATGTCCTTTAGAATTTTCTTAGTCATCCTATCACCAGGATCATTCTCTTTTAGATGTAGTTTTGGTTCATTCATGTACCCTTTATTTAGGTGTCACATGCCCACCAACTTTCGTCTTGGTTCGTCCACGAACCACATCTTACTAGGAAAGGTATCGCTTTGATACCATTTGTAACGACCCATGCTCAAGATTTGGAATCCAGATTTGGCACTTGATGACCCTGACATTCCCATGCAACATGGTCACATTACCTATTAATCTCTTGTATGAGTGAAGACTATTCTCACAAACCAACTCAAGTCCTTTATGTTTTGTCCTCACTCATATGCATCCTAGGAAAATTTTCAAAGGGTTACTTAAGATAGAATTACTCCAAGTAAAGCACTCTTGACTATGGAATCCCTATAATTAAGCCATGGAAAAGGAAGGTGCACCTTATTGGTATAGTTAGTAACTTTCATTTCTTTTTAACTTTTCTTACTTATCTTATTCTCAAGATTGCTCTCATTCGAATGTGTCCTAGGTTCATTCAGATACCCTTCTTTTACCCGGGTATCACAAATTCCATGACTTTTATCACGACATCATCATCCGTACATGGGTGTCTTACTTTTATTTGAAAAATAAGAGTAGAACGTGACTTGAGTATTTTAAGAAAAAATGCAAACACATGACCTACCCATTTAAACACATGCGAGAAAAAGGGTCCGCATAACATCATGGTGAATATAAATTTCGTAAGGTACGCGTCTAATAGACGGTTGGAGAGGGGAACAAATCATTTCTAGGTGTAGAAACTTCTCTCCAACAGATGCGTTTTAAAACCATAAAGTTGATGACGATATGTAACGGGCCAAAGTGGACATTATTTGCTATTATAGTGGATAGAATCTTATGTATACTTCTAGGTAGTTTTTAAAATAGAATTTTATCTATTCTTTTATCTAGTTTATAAGATAAAATCTTATTTTGGAGTCATCTATAAATACATGTATACTTCTTCTTGTGTCTTCTCTCTTTTGTTCTTTATATTCTTTCATCTACGGAGAGATTGACTACCATTTATGAAAATTGAAAGTCGATATGTTTTCAGTTTCTAGAAGATGCAAATTGAAGATTTACTATACCATAAAGATCTTCTTGAACCCTTGTTCGGGGTGAAGCCACATTAACCAGTAGACTTTAGGGTTGATCCTATTGATGTCTTTTTAATTTTGGGTTGAGCCATAGAAACATGCTCCACTTACATTTATTTATTGTATCAACCGTAAATATTCAAGACATTTCAACCATTATGAGGAACGGAACTCGAAAGGGTTTACTTGAGTTTACTTGCTCAAGTTGTCACCTCTTTAAGGTATGCCTT